GAAAAATTAAATTTGCGAGATAACTGCTCCGGAATACCGCCAATAAAATAGGGAAAAAGTTTCGAACAAAAAATGTATGGCGCACTTTTTGATTGGTCCAGCGGATGCTGAGCTACAGTAAAAAACAAATTTGGAAAAATTAAATTTGCGAGATATCTGCTCCTGAATACCACCAATAAAATAGGGAAAAAGTTTCGAACAAAAAATGTATGGCGCACTTTTTGATTGGTCCCGCGAATGCTGAGCTAAACTAGAAAACAAATTCGGAAAAATTTTCGAAAAATTAAATTCGCGAGATAATCTTTTGGGAATACCGCCAAAAAAAATTTTTGGAAAAAAGACGATAAAAATTTTTTTTTGAGGTATTTTTAAAAATCCTTTGGTCAGATTTGAGATATTAATATGATAAATGAGACTACGAAATTTTATCTAAATCCATTAAAACCTGTTAAAGTTATCTTCTAAACAAAAAAGGGATCTTCACACACACACACACACACATACATACATCCGGACAATTAATCAGGATCTCATATAACATGTTTCTATAAAGAAAAAAATTTGTTTCCGCCACTTTGAAAAGTTTTATAAACGAAAGGACTACAAAGCTCCCTCCACGAGGAACCAAAAAATTCAATTTTTCTTAGGCGGACGATTTTATTGCATATTCTTGCACAAAATACACCGAAAAGTGTAGAAAAAAATTTATACCCTGATCCGAGTAGAGGAAGACACTTTTTATGACCAAAAACGCATCCAAAAGCATGAAAAACTTTCCTAAAAATTCAATTTTTCTTAGGCGGACGATTTTATTGCATATTCATGCACAGAATACACCTAAAAGGGGCAGACCACTTTTCGCCGCCAACTCATCCCCGTGTACCTGCTCAGCGGCAAATTTTCGTCCCCGTATGTTCCCCCACTACCGGCCGTACTGTACCCCTCCGTTCAGTTCATTTTGGGTAACAATTGAATTTTATTTGATTTTAAATTGAAAATTTTAATAAAATACATTTTTTTAGTATAAAATGTAGATCTTCTTCAGATCTTCTTCAATTCAATTATTTAACAAATTTTGAACTAAAATAATTCTTCATTAAATTAATTATTTTTAATAATTTTAATGAAATTCATCACAAATTCAATTATTTCAAAATTATTTTTCAAAAAAAATTTTTATAAAATTTAACAATTGTTTATAATTTTTAAAAAATATCGCAATAAAATTGAATTATTTTCAAAAATTCCATTTCAAAATAAACTAAAATTAAATTATTACCCAAAATTTCAATTAAAATTTAATTATTATCCAAAATTTCAATTCAAAATCAAAGAAAATTCAATTATTTTCAAAAATTTTCAATTTAAAATCAAATAAAATTCAATTGTTACCCAAAATGAACTGAACGGAGGGGTACAGTACGGCCGGTAGTGGGGGAACAAACGGGGACGAAAATTTACCGCTGAGCAGGTACACGGGAGACCAAGGAACTATGCAGGGGCCATGCTTTCTCTGCATCCTCCTTCCTGTCCTTCAGTCTGAAAAAAGAAACATTTAAAAATTAAAGACAAAATTAAAAATTACAATTTTTCATACAATTATGTTTTTTCAATTATTATAATTATAAAATATAAAAATCTTACCGTGGACACCCTTCGCCCATGCCCTATCTCCATCCCGGAGCGGCACTCGAACGGTGGTTTCCAAATTAGTAAAAAAAATCACTCACACGCGGTTTTAGGAATTTCGCACACTCCCGGACCGCGTGTTAACTTAAAAAAACTTTCATTTAATACGATCGCGGTTTTAAATATTGCGAACACTCCCACCAATTAAAAAATTATTTTATTTTAAACAAAAGTTGAAGGAAAAAAAATTACTTCCTTAATAACTCGATCGCGGGTTTAAAGAAATTGCGAACACTCCCGGAAGCTAACACTGACTTGAAAGAATTAAAAATTTTAATAATAGCTTCATGGTGATTCTTTCAAACTAAATAGCCCTCGGAGATCCCTACTTTCAAGTTAAATTTCCATTCAAAAAATGTGAAAAATAACTGTAAAAATAGACCAAGTTCTAAAAAGTCTGAAAGAATTTTGTGTAATTCAAAGTTAAGATACCCTTTTTAACTTTCGCCCTTATCTTTGAAATGAGTAACACCACAAACCATCGAGGAAAAGACGTTGTCACGTCAAAAAATTCAACCCATAAATATTACTTGATCGCGGATTTAATAAAATACGAAACACTCCCATAAGCTAAAACACTGATTTTATAGAATTAAAAATGTTAATTTTCACAAACACGTGGTCATCAAAAATCGAAACGCCCGATGATAACTTGAGATTTTGAACAGATATATATGACCGACGCTAGAGAAATGATCCCCCACCCCATGAAATTGATGAAGCACAAAAGTGAATTTGAAACCACGTGATCATACTAAATTTAGGCGCGCGTGATAATTTTGATTTTTGCACCAATCACGTTAAAGCCAATGTTGGGGATGTAAAAATGAGAGGGTAGAAACGCGTCTATTGTTTTTTCTCTCACTCTTATTTATCTAATATGTAATTTTAGATTAAATATTGTAATATTTAACATTAAATATATAAACTATGCAACAAAAAAATATTTATTTTTTCAATTAGAATGTATATATATATAATAATATTACAATATAAGAATCAAAAAAATATATATTTTGAAAAAAAATTTATCCCCACCATTTCAAATTAATTAAGAGGGACAAAGATAGAAGAGAAGCACGCCTGAATTTCTTGCGACCACGTGACAAAATTGACGCAATTTGATTTTAATTAACTTTAAATGTGACGTATTGAAATTTTTTTTTACTACAATAAAAATTAATATAATGCAATAACAATACTAGAAATAAAATTTTATAATTTTCATGAAATTTCTTCGAATTAATTTTTTTCAAATTTTTTTTATAATAATGCGCGAGATTTGACTGTGTCAGTTCATCGAGATATTTCGAGTTCAAGATATGACGTCAGAGACCTGGAGGGACAACAAACAGACGACACAAACACAATGTCATTCTTATAGGGAAGAAAATTTGTTTCCACTTTCATCGATTTTATTCATATTTTAAACATGGAAAACGCTTGTTGACATATAATAAAATTAAAATGTGTGTTGATAATTAACTTTGTTATATATTTGATTCAATTGCATTGATAGATTCTCTCAATTCGTGATAAAATATAAATTTTGAGGTTAGGGGTGTTTGTTTACTATAATCACATTTTACATTTTAACAACATTATTAAACAATATCCAGTATGCATGTTATTAAAAAAGATATAAAATATATATTTTAAGTGAGAATTACCGCAGCAGTAAAAGATTTAAAGTTAGTAAAGAAACACCCCTAACCTCAAAATTTATATTTTATCACGAATTCAGAGAATCTATCATTGCAATTGAATCAAATATTTATAACAAAATTAATTATCAACACACATTTTAATTTTATTATATGTCAACAAGCGTTTTCCATGTTTAAAGTATGAATAAAATTGATGAAAGTGGAAACTAATTTTCTTCTCCATAAGAATAACATTGTGTCGTCTGTTTGTTGTCCCTCCAGACCTCTGACGTCACACCTAGAATCGACTCTTACGTCACAAGTGACAGAGCCTAATACAGAGTGTTCTAAAGACGGAAAATTACGTCAAGAAGAGAAAGAAGATTGCGGTAATTTACCGGTAAATTACCGCTTCGTTTTTTCTCCGAGAATTTACAAATTCTTTAAATTACTAATATTTCCAATTACAAGGACCAAAGTTATTGAAAAAGCAATGCAAAGTGGATTCATTCGAGGAGAGCAATATTGATTCCGATTTAGACCTTTAAAAAGGTTATTTTTTATTTCGATTGTTTTAATTTTATTCTAAAGTTTTTCAAACTATTTAAAGATTTTAATTTAAAAATTTCGATATTTTGAAATACTGAGATTGCGTTTAAAAGTATATGTTTAAAGAGGTTAAATATTAAACAAAGTTACTATTTTAAATCACTAAAATTGTTAGGTAGGTAGAATTTGGTACACGTGATACAGACTTTTGAACGGCTATGTAAATGAAGTTTTATTTTTTAAACAAATTTTCTAGTCAAATAATTTGACAACCAAAGATATGGTTATTTAAAAGATTTATTTTATTGATTTTAATTCTTCAGGAAGGCCATCGTGGTAAGATTTTTACAAGATAAATTTTTTTGTATTTTTACATTTTTAATCTTTATGTACATTCACATAATAACACAAATTTTTTCAGGTTGCTAATAATTGTTAATAATGAACATTTTTCTGCTTCAGATCGATAATAATGATTTTTTTTTCTTTTTCTGGTTTCTAGAAATCTTCATAAATGAGGAATTTAAGAGGTTTTAAAGGGTTAAATTAAATAACAATATAGTAAAAAAAAAATTGTTTCCAACGTAAATGACAATTGAAACAACAGTCAATTCACTTCTCTCAGATTTTTTTGAAATGAATTCAATTATTATTAAACTAAATTAAATGAAAGAAAACCAATATATGTTTAAAGGAATGTTATTTTGAGAATGAAAATAAAATAGTCCATTTATCAGTTACATAATACAATCAATTCTTTAATCTATACTTTTTTATTTTCTCTTGCGATTCATGTTACAATATAATAAATTAGTTATTATAATTATTTATATAAATTTTTTTTTAAGAATTGCTAGCCTCAAATTGTACCCTGTTTTAGAAAACCCTTAATCTCTGTTTTTTTGTTTAAATCATTAAAATTTCGAAAATTATACAAAAAATTGTAAAATTTAAATAAAAATTAAATTACCCACTTTTTATTTTTTTTTTTTGAAATAAAAATTTGTCAAACTTAAAATTTTACATATCAATAAAATATATATAAAAAATAAATTAAAATATTATAAAATAGTATAAAAACATATTTACAATTTTTAAAATACTAAGAATTGTATGGCAGTTTTTTTTTCATTGCATATGCAGTTTAAAAAAAAATATGATCTTAGCGAAAACAATTTTCAAAAAATTTTGTATCAAATACTTTTTTTCTAATATGCATTTTTATATATATATATGTTATAAATAATTAATCTTCATCTGGCCTGGTTATAAATGGTTCAATAGAGTTGACATCCTCACAGTCGGGAATAATTTTACCTTTTAATTTCACACAAGTATCGGCGCATAAACTACCCTCAAAGTATGGTCCAAGCATTTTGGTGCACTGCGCACAATTTCTCAAGCATGTACCTAAACATAAAAATTTTTGTTTGTTTTTAAAAACAAAATAATTAAATTAAAATCAGAAAATAAAATAAATGTAATTCTCAGTATATATGCAAAAATATATTTTAAAGTTACAAGCAAAAATTTTGAATATAATTTTTAGGGTAAATGCACTAATTACGGCGCGATTCGAGTCAATACACCCTTGAAATAGAAAATTTGACATTTTTATTGTATAAAGCCAATTATGGCTTATTAAGACTTATGTTATTTAGATATTAAAAAAAATTTTAACTTTATAAAAATCGATTATTTAACCTTCGCCGGACTGGATACTTTTTATATACACGGTTGACAAGATCCCACCCAGGGTGGGCCAAATGTTTTCTTCTTTGTATATTGCAATAAAAACTTAGAATCATTCAGTTTTTTTCCAAAATTGTTATATGTTACCAAATAATATATTTTATTAATGTTTTGTTGATTTTTTATTTGTTTAAACAATTTATTATTAATAATTTATAACTTTTTCAAATATACATACGACAGTAGAAGAATTTTATAAATTTGTTACCTTTTCTTCGTAGTTATTAATTCAAAGGTTATAAATAAAATAAAATATATAATTCAATTTGCAACAACTATTATTATAAATTGTTTAAACAAATAATTGTTGCTATTTATTAACTTTCTTTATAATGTTCCAAGAAAGTTGCAATTTTTTTCTAATTTTGCAACTTAACGAGCTCAACATAATAACACAAAGATTTTATATGAATTTACTATTTAACCAATTGTTTAAACAATTTATTGTTGTTATTTATTAACTTTCTTGTAGTGTACCTAGAAAGATGCAGTTTTTTCCTAATTTTGCAATTTATCAAACCGAATATAATATAGCCAGACAGATTTAACATAAATTTACTAATTTAACAATTGTTTAAACAATTGTTGAATTTACAATTTTACATCAAATCTATCTTTTATTATATTCGGCTTGATGAGTTGCAAAATTAGAAAAAAACGGCAACTTTCCAGGTGCAGAACAAAAAAAGTTAGTAAATAACAACAATAAATTGTTTAAACAATTGTTGAATTAATAATTTTATATCAAATCTATCTTTTATTATATTCGGCTTGATAAATTGCAAAATTAGAAAAAAACTGCATCTTTCTAGGTGCAGAACAAAAAAAGTTAATAAATAATAACAATAAATTGTTTAAACAAATGAAAAATGCAATATAATATTTTTTATATCTATTATTTGACATCATAAAACACTCACAGTGAAAAGTCTGCATGATTTCAAGTCTTTTTGTAAAATAGAATTAAAAAAATATCTGAATCATCCCGGTTATCTCCGTACATACATTGATAAAAGTTATAAATAATCAAGAAGAAATTTTTTTTAAAAATTTGTTTTTACATTTTTTGAAAGTTCTTAAGATTTTGTTCAGTGACTTAAAATCGCAATTCAATTAAGGCAAAACTTTAGAAGATATGGCAATTTCAATTTGTCTGGCCCACCCTGGGTGGGCATCTTGTCAAGCGAAGGTTAAACAAATATGAGAAATTAAAACTATTACCGTAATTTTCTATTACGGCGCGTTTGTATCAGTTTCGGTGTATCAATTACGGTGGACCATAATTACGTATATTTTGAAAATACTTTCCCCGCCGTAATTGAAGCCAATGGAAATCTTAAAAATGTTTCAATTACGGGCCAGGAAAAAAATTTGATCTCAAATAATTAAATTAATAATTTAAATGTGCATCTTTATTTAGTAATTGTATCAAAAAAAGATTAAAGTAAGTTTTTTAAATCATTTTCCAGCAGATTTATTAAATATAATAATAATAATAATAATAGTTATTTTTTATGAACGCGCCGTAATTGGTGCACTTACCCTACATTTTTTAAAAAAGAATGGAAAATAATAAAAATTAATTAACGGGAAATTTTGTGTTTTTTTTTGTACTAACCAACATGAGCCAAACTTGCTGTCGTTGTTAAAATTAGTGAAGTGAAAGCGATGATACATATCAGTAAGATCTTTGCCGAAATTTTCATAACTGTAAAATCAATTAAATTAATAGAAAAATAATAATGTATTATTTAGGTAGATACTTTTTTTTTACATAGCCTTAGACAATAATGAAATTTTTAATTATAAATTAAAATTAAATTTCCTTCTCTATCATAATTTTCCTCACTTCATAAAATTTCGTAACTATTTCCTCTTAATGTGCAAATATATATAACATTTTCCTTATACAAACAAGGAAATGATTTTCAATATTTACTTTACAACTTCAATGGCATTTCCTATCGTAAGGACACCAAGTCGAAGACATTGACTTTTTGTGTATCATCAATAACTGTCAAATGCAACTCACATTAAAATTATCTCACTATATATAGACAATTATTCTTGTTGTAAAATAATTACTTTGAATAATTAACTTATCATCTTAATTTAATTTTAATGACAATTTGAGAAATTAATTTTTCAATTTCAAAAGAAACAGGATTTCCTTCTTTACATCGTAAAGAAGTATAATAATAAATAACAAAAAAAAAAAATATATAAAATATAATAAAATAACTCACTTATTTTGGTTTTTGATTTTCTGTATTCAGATGAAAATTTTCAATAAAATCAGTTCACAATTTTCCAAATCGTTTTCACATTTTTTTTTCAATTAAAAAAAGGAGAATTTTTCTTAAATTATAGAGGAAAAAAAAATTAAGAATCGAAGAAATTGACGAACTAAAAAAATTCCATAAATAAAAAAAAAGAGCAACAAATTTTTTTTTTTTTGATTCAATGGTACATTTTTCATTCACGTATTGAACTACAAATTGAACTTGATTTCTCTCTCTCTTTCTCTGTCGTTGGACTCAAGCACATACACTTGAGTCTTCCCGAAGAGACACAAAACGATATTGGAATATATATAAAAGCGAATGTTGAATTAATAGTTTGAATGTAACTGCTTGGGAGGATCATCTGAAGGCTGTTTACCTGCTCACACTTATATCGGTAATGGTCACCTCCCTTTTTTTTTTACATAAATACTTATATGCCGTTTATAACCGGAATTCCATGTATTTCCGTGTTCACCTTATCGGCCATTGTAAAGACATTAAAAAGATATTGAACATAAATGAAGAATACACCAAAAATTTTATGTATGTGCAAAATGTCAAAATCTTAAATTTTGTCGTAATGTGAATATTGTCTACTTCCCATTTTTGTGATGTGTTAAAAAAATAATCAAAAAAAAAAAAAATCGAAAATAACCGAAAGCAGTAAAATATATATATGTTAATTTGATAATGAAAAAATTTGTTTACAAAAAACTATGAGCCATTTTTAATTTGGTGGGAAATAGAATTTTATTTATAGTATTTGCCATTTCAGTGAGTTAAATTAAGATACCGTCTAACCGGGGTAATTATTACCATCCCCAGGGGCTATTATACCCATCAACAGTTTTGCATAAAAACAAATTTTATTTAAAAATATTTAACCTTTAAATTACTAGGTGCTAAATAATTATGCTAAATACTTTTCCCAGTCTGTCAGACCGCTATTCCTTTTTTTCGTTTTTCTATAGTGATTTGAAATTATAAATAATTTCATTTAGGGTCAGCCGGGGTAAATCCAAACGCTTTTAGTAAGTTTCAACAATAACATAAGTTTTTTCTTTTAAAAGACAATACTTCCAGTATTCTGGTGCATGAAGTTGTTACTTTACTTCCATAGAACAATTTTATGGGGTAGCAAAAATTTTTGATAAATTACAATCGCAGGAAACTTAGCGTTCGTATTTACCTCGATACTTTGCAACTTTCCTAAAATACCGGGGTAAATACGAACGCCACTGTATTACAGAAAAATCTTAGGGAAAATAAATTTAAAGTATTGCAATTGTTAAACTTATATAAAAACTCAAAAAAAAATACGATAATAAACCTATTATGTAATAATGCATCATATATAAATACAAAAATCAAACAGGTTAAAAATTAAAATGCATTACACAATTAAAACCTTCAATAACTTTATCAAATCATAACGGATTTTTGCAAAACTTGGTACAGAAAGTATTTTGGAGTGATTGAATGTAAATACAAAAATAAAAGTCAAATTTTTTAAATTCAAAATGGCGGACTTTCCTAAAACTTATTTTTAAAAATGATCAAATTTGCTAACTCCAAATTCGTAATCAGCGACCCTAAAACACCCCGAGTAACAATTTTCGAGCGAATCCAATGAATTTTTTAATTCTCGTCCGCCATATTTGATCCGCCATTTTGAATTTTGAAAAACTGACTTCAAATTGCTAATCAGCGACCCCAAAAACCCTAGAATACCAAATTTTATTAAGATCCTGAAAAACTATTTTCAACAAACCATTTGGCAAAAAAAAGTGGAATACTCCTTCGAGAGAACAGAGATTAAGTTTCTGCTTATTAATTACTAACGAGGATACATATAGAAAGAAAAACTTTTTTCTATGTACTTTTATAATGTTAAAATAATAGTGTTATCAAATAAAAACAATTTTGTGTGCCTCTGATATAAGAAAAAATTATTGAAAATACCGTTCGGATTTACCCGGTTTTCCAATTTTCCGGGGTAAATACGAACGGTCTGATATTATTAATAAAATTTTACAGAAGGCAAAAATGAAAAATAGTTTCTGTTCTAGTATTCATAACAAACAATTATAAATAATAAAATGAATTTTTAGCTTCTTTTTCTTTAAATACGAGACAAAATACTGAAAGAGTGTCATCTTTGATTTTCAATCTTTTTTGCAATACTCGATATCTTTGTTTATGCTGTTGCTAATTAACAAACGAAAAATGGAATAATACTTAGAATCTCTTGAAGAGGATCTGAGGTAAAAATTCTCATGTCTAACTTTTTTTTTAAAATTTTAATTAAGCTGAAATAATTAGCGTTCGGATTTACCCCGGCTGACCCTATCATAATTATTTTTGAGCCAAATTTTTATTTGCTTGAATTTTCATTTAACATAATAGGCATTTTAAAGAATTTTTATTGGGTAGAATTTCATTGCATAGAATTTTCATTTCATTCTTTCAGATGAATTTTCATTTGTTCGAATTATTATTTCATATAATTTCCATATAACCGATTTTTCATACTACAGAATTTTTACTTAACCGAAAAATAATTTAACAGAATTTCTAATTGATAGAATTTTCATTTGTCCGAAATTGCAAATGACCGAACAAACAATCGATTTTGGCGCGATTTTTAAAATCAACCAATCACAATTTTATGGATAATTTTTGATTGGTTGATTTTAAAAATCGCGCCAAAATCGATTGTTTGTTCGGCCATTTGCAATTTCAGACAAATGAAAATTCTATCAATTAGAAATTCTGTTAAATGATTTTTAGGTTAAGTAAAAATTCTGTAGCATGAAAAATCGTTTATATGGAAATTATATGAAATAATAATACGAACAAATGAAAATTCATCTGAAAGAATAAAATGAAAATTCTATGCAATGAAATTTTACCCAATAAAAATTCTTTAAAATGCCTATTATGTTAAATGAAAATTCAAGCAAATAAAAATTCGGCTCTAAAATATATTGTGGCAAATTAAAATAAATGAAATTGAAAATATATAAATTGTCAAGTACTTACTGATTTTTGAATTTTTTTTTTTTTTTGTTCAATTCACACTGTCTTGAGCGATAAAATGACGAATAGTAATAGAATGGAGAAAACGAAATCTTATATACTATTTGAGAGGAAGTAACACAACGTGAACCCAACGGGTGATCCCATCGTCTTCATTAGATTTACTTCGTTTTCTTTATTTCCTACACTCACCGTTGTTGTTTCCTGGTTATTGTATTTAAAGAGAAATGAAATCGGATATTGGCTCTCTCTCTCTTTCTTTTTCTCTGCAGGTTTGCTGAAAAATCTCTAATAAAAATGAGAAGCTTTTTTGTTATAATTGTATAAATACAATTTATTTAATTTTGATTTAACAAGAAGAATTCAACAAATGTTTTCTTATTCATAAATTATAAGAAACAAAGAAAAATTATATACATATAGGTCTTAAAAATTTATTTCTTATTCATTAATTAATGAATTATGATTGTTCTTTTCTAAAACTTCATCCCCTAATTTCAAGTAATCTTATTTAAATTATCGATGAAAATGTAACAATTGAAAAAAGTTAGTAACTTCATTTTGTGGTTTTAAAAAAATATTTTTTTTTTACCAATCTGTGCTAATTTTGTGCTTAGTGCTGCAAAATTTTTGTTGTAAAAATAATAATTAGGGCTTAAATTTAAAAAAAATCTTTATGCTCACAAATGCTTAAAAATAAATAATTGTGCTAGGCCAGAACAAAAAAGAAATTCTTACAACAATTTTCAAAATTTTTAATAATAAATTATTCAAAATAATTCAAATTTAAATTTAGAAAGAAATATTCAAAAATTATTATTTTTTAAAAACGAATTATGTCCTGAATTATGCTATTTGAGCACAAAAAGAAACAATTAAAACATTTACGAAAAATTAATAAATTTTCAAAATAATTCAATTTTAAAATTCAAAAGAATACTTTTTTTTCTTAGAAATATTAAAAAATTATTATTTTTCAAAAATAAATTTTGTGCTTAGCTTATTTCTTTATTTTCCAAATAAAATAAATAAATTTTTCCAATTCATGATAATTCAGCACAAAATTTGTTATTGAAAAATAATAATTTTTAAATATTTCTAAGTAAAAAAAAACAAATTTTTAAATTTTACAATTGAATTAATTTCAAAAAAATTGGGAAAAAAATTATTTTTTTTTGAAAAAATAAAATGTCGGTGCTAACTTTTTACAGTTGTTATATTTTCATCAAATTTTAAAACAAAATAACAATATTAAATTTAATATTTAATATTATTCTTTATTATAAATTCACAATATATTAATTAATATCAAAACTATAATTACTATAAAATTTTTTCTAACTCAGATTCTTTTACCATGCTTCTTCTTTTTTTTTGTTTTCGACAAAATATCCGAATAAGTTCGTAACTTATTTCTCTTGTCCTTCAAACGTGATGTATATTTATTATCAAAAATTCCTCTACGATTAGGAATCTCACGCTTTCGATTCTCTTTTTTTTCATTATCATTATCATTAGAATAATATTCGTGTGAACTAATTTCCCGTGAATTCTCAAAGAAAGGTTTAAAAAAATCTTTATCCCCATATTTAAATTCCTCATCAGTAATTCTTATTAATTTTGCATCCTCATTTGTATGATCATCATCACCTACTTCGGTCGATTTTTCACGTTCATTATTATTGTCATTGAAATTTTCCCCTGAAGAATAAATTTCTGAACTTGAAGAAGATTCCTGAGATTCATTTTTATATTTATCAGAATAGTTTCCTTCAACATTGTCGCCTTTGTCGTTTTCATTTAATTCTTCTTTTTCTTCTTCTTCTTCTTCTTTTGTTTCATTAAAATCGTCCTCATTATATGGTAAATTTAATTCCTTGAATAATTCCTTGAAGCTAAATGGCCGTTTATCTTCAGCAGATGATTCCTTTGGTGTTTGTGTTTCTTGAGATAATTGTTTTTGAGATGTATCTTCAGATTCTTGAGTTTCATGAACCGGAATTTCTTCCGTCTTATCGAACTCATAAGCATCCTTGACAGGTCGATAGTCCTGAATATCAACGTACGGCGTCTGAGCACTGACTTTGGGTTTGTCTGTAGTTCCTTTCACTGCCTCAGCTTCATTAGTGTTGTCAACTGTAGAGGTTTAAAAATGGAAATAAAATAAAAATTTTATTCTCAGGGTTCACCTTTTTTTTGGAACTTAAACATAAATATAAACAAAGTAAAAAGACTTTAAAAGACCTCTAGTTTTGTTTTGAAAAAAACTACCCTTAAATATAAAGAGAATTAAACTATCGTGGAAAAATTGAAATAACAGATTTTATTCTAATACAACTATAATTTATTGCATTTTTTCTCCATGGAGAAAAAAAAGATGCTATAAAATTAATTATTATATTTCGTTAGTTAAATTTTTTTGAGACAGTCAAAAATCAAAAATGCCATTAAAAAAAATTGCTACTCGGGGGTTTTTGGGGTCGCTGATTACGAATATAAAGTCAGATTTTAAAAATGCAAAATGGCGGATCCAATATGGCGACCAAAATTTTTTAAAAATTATCAGATTTGCTTGAAACTTGTTACTCGGGGGTTTTTGGGGTCGCTGATTACGAATCTAAAGTCAGATTTTAAAAATTTTCAAAATTCAAAATGGTGGATCCAATATGGCGACCAAAATTTTTTTAAAATTATCAGATTTGCTTGAAACTTGTTACTCGGGGGTTTTTGGGGTCGCTGATTACGAATTTGAATCTCGATTTTATAAAATAAGATTGGTAGTTCCAAAATGGCTAATAAAGTATTTAAAAATTGGATGGATTCGCCACCCTTAACTCCATAAACCACCCCTTTCACATTATTCAATTAGTTGTTTTAAATTTTTCTTCCATACAAATTTAGGCTTCATTTAAAGGATCTTAAATATATCATAAAAGTAATTTTTCAAAATACTACCCTTAATCCCCAAAACTACCCCTTAATATAGAAATTTAATATTTTTTAAAATTTACTCTACATAAATCTTTTACAATTTTACCTAATTTGAGACTTTTAAATAGCCTTGAATTAAATTTTGAAAAATCTACCCTTAACTCCAATTTGTTCGACATATTGGATCCGCCATTTTGAATTTTGAAAAATTTTTAAATCTGACTTTAGATTCGTAATCAGCGACCCCAAAAACCCCCGAGTAGCAAGTTTCAAGCGAATCTGATCAAATTTTAATAAAAATGTCCGCCATTTTGGATCCGCCATCTTGAATTTTGAAAATTTTTAAAATCTGACCTTAGATTCGTATACAGCGACCCCAAAAACATAAGATTGACCCATTATCCAACAAGTTGCAATTATTTTCTCAAAGTAATTAATACATTTGTTTGCTGAGTTAGTAAAAAAATTTGCAAAACATGGTACAGTAAGGACGCCATTTAGAATTTTTTAATTCGCCACTTTTTATTCGATGCAGTATGAGCTGACAATTATTTTGAGCCGTAATAAGTTGATTTTCGTTGATTAGAATTTTGGATGGAGCTCTGGGCCGGTTGACGTGAAACGTCCCATATTAAATATTATTTAACTACAAATTTCAACTCAAAATAATTTTTTGGTTTCAGGTCAAAGAATTTGATTCAGATACTGCATGTTCCACAAATTTTAATGCAAATGAAACTGGTGCTATGACCTACGGAAATCTGATATCGATTATTTTAGAAGGCGAAGAAACTGAACAAATTGTATAAGACGGATCAAAGCTTTGTTAATACAACAAATTGTATTGCGGATTTAACAATTTAGTTTTGTTATTTCAACTGTTCCATAACAATTTTGCTTTGTTCATTAAACAATTCTGTTTGTTCACCGAACAATCCGAATAATTTTAATAACAATCCCATTTTAACAATTTTTTTGTCCCAAAAACAAATAGAACTGCTGGTTCTATATGGAATTTTTTTTTAAATTAAAAATTGCGAATTTTCTATGGAAACAGTATTTTTTTTAAATTTATCAAATTCATTTGAAATTGTTACTCGAAGGATTTTTGGTATCGCTAATTACGAATACGAAGTCAATTTTACAAATTTAAAAATGACAGATTCAACATGGTGAAAATTTTTTTTTAATTGATCAAATTCGCCTGAAACATGTTATTCAGAGGTTTTTGGAGCCGTTTCTTACGAATCTAACCTCAGTTTTTCAAAATTCAAAATGGCGGATCCAAAATGGAGGGAAACTTTCTTTAAATTGATCGAATTCCCTTGAAACATATTACTCGGGGGTTTTAGCGATCACTAATTATGAATCTGATGTTGATTTTTCAAAATTCAATATGGCAGATCGAAAATAACGAAAAAATATTTATTTGTATCAAATAATTATTATTTGAGTCAATTAAATGGTATTTGTTTCAAATACAGAAATTATTGGTTTAAATAAAATTTATTTAATTGAAATAAAAATTATTTGTTTCAAGTAAATTTGATAATAGTCAAGTAATCGAATGAAATAATTTTTTTTCAGTGTTCAAACTTTGTTACTCGGTGGTTTTCGGGGTCACTAATTACAAATTTAATATCGGATTTGTAATTAACAATACTGAAAACCCCCGAGTATCAAGGTTAAAGAAAATAAAACACTTTTAAAATTTCTTCGACGCCATATTGGATCCACCATTTTAAATTTTGAAAAACTTACCTTATATTCATAATTAGCTTTCCTATTACTATAAAAACAACTACAATATCTCCATTTTTTCCCCGTGTTTGAAAAAAGAGTTAAAGAATCATTTTTTTAAATTGACTCAAAAATCTTTGAATAAAAACATTAATGAGTGATTTTTTATTAGAATTTATCTCACCAGAAGAAGTTGGATCAATAAAATCCTGATTCTCATAATCCTTGAATTTTGTTCTTGAAATTTGTCCATCATTTTTATCGAGACTCTCTTCTCTTTGATCCGAATAATCAGGTACATGAACATAGGGTATAATATCTGGATTATATGGTGGAATATCAGCTGGATAACCTGGAACTGTTTGTCTCTCGATTTCTTTCAATAAATCCTTTCGATGATCCAATATATTTATATATGTCGCATTTGTAGCATCCTTAAGAAGAGGAGCATTTGGTTTTTTTAAAATTTCTCTTTGTTTCTTAATTTTCCACGTATTTGGTGATGTCGTGCTAATTATTGGATTATCTATTTTTGATGATGTTTTTATTCGTTTAATAATATAATTTGGCAATTGTGGTGAAATATTCAAATTGTCCACTTCAGTGGCAATTGTGTCATTGTAAGCTGAAATTGGTAATTGAAGAAATGAAAATGGATGTGGTACGGGAAGAGATTTTGTCTCAAAAACATTGATATTTTCATTTTGATCATAATTCAAAATGGGATTATTATTAATTTGACTGGTGATTAGTGGTTCCTCTGTTGTTGTTGTTGTTGTTCTTGGAAATCGATAAAAATTTCTCATTAAAATTGTCGATGGAGCATCGTTTGTTAAATTTTGTGGTTTTGCAACAATAGAAAGAGATCTTCTTGTTTCTCGTTTAGAGCGCAGTTTAGATTCTTTTGTTTTATTACGCATAAGTTCCACGACGGTAGTAATTTTTAACATTTGAATTGTTTCATTACTAGGTGTTTCCATTTTTATTTCTGTATTCATATTTATTGAATTTGGTTTTTGTATTTTGGTAGAAAAAATTTTTTCTTCTCTATTTGATTCTTTTTGTTGTTTCTCCTCAATGTTGTCGAGATTGTTTAGAGTAAATTTTGAATAAAGTGGCTTTTCCTTTAATTCCTGAAAGAAAAATAGCAAAGTAATTAGAAAAGAAAATTTAATATTAATATGGAATATTACATTTTTTTTAAATTTGATAAAAAATAATTTTACTTACCTAATGAAAAGTTGTTTTAAATAAAATTATTACTATATTTTTAATTATATTCATAGTTATAATATATTATAATATAAAAGTTACAATAATTGTTGTTGGAAATTTTTAAATTAATATTAATTCTTATTTTATTAAAATTCATAAAAAAAATTTTACCTTACGTGTGCAAATAATTATTACCGTGCTTGATAATACTTTTCATTCGACTGTAAACATTATTTGCTTGATTCAACAAATTATTAGCTATAAATATAAGTTTTGATCTAATTTCAAATTTTAATTTCTTTTTTATATTTTTCAAATTATTGATATTTTGTTGAATTACTCTCTAAATCTGAATTAGCTAAACATAATTATTATTAAAATCTTGGCTGATTATTTTGCTTTAGCGATCAATAAAAAATAACTAATTATTAGTAAAAAGTAAAGAATTTTCAGTTGTAAAAAAAACTGCAAAAATAGTCAAATTTGATTAATTGAATTATAGTTACCCTTTTTATTATAACATAACCTAAAAGTGAATTTAACAAATAATTAGTTATTTTCAACTAATTTAAATTTAGAGAGTAAGCGAATAATTTTTCTGGTGCTGCAAAAAGTGAAAAATACAACAATTATTACGCAGTGATTATTTATGAAACTGATTTATTTTACTTATTGAATTTATGTACATTTTTATATGATATTTATCGAAAAAATTATCTACTGCTTCAAGAAAACATGAAAATTTAAAAATTAAATATAAAATATCCAATTCAAAATTTTGTAGAAATTAACAAAGAAGAAAGGCACTCTTTTTGCTCTGAAGAAAGAGACATAATAGCAAAAAATTATAAGTTATGAATGTAATGAAATTTATCAATAAATTATAGGTTATGTCTACAAAGTATAGTTTTTTCTTAATTAAAACATTAAAAGTAATTTTCAATTATTATATAGAATTAAAATCCGTTTTTATTTTTGACGTAATAAAGATTTAAACATTTTTATTTTGATCGTCTTTGTGTATTTTTATTTTAAATTTCATAAACATAACCTATAAATTTTTGCCTCTTAGCTCGCCCTCTTCAGAGAGAACAAAGAATTTGATAATTTTAATTTTCTATCATGTTTTCTTTATTTATATTAAACATATTTACAATCTACATTCGGTAATACTTTAGTTAGGCAAATATATTTACTTAGCAATATATGTGAAGAACATACTTAAAATAAACAATAATTGCATTCATGTTTTCATTAAATTGCAATACGTGAATAATCAGTGTCGATAGTTGATTAACATTTGCTAAATAACTTAAGTTAAAATTGTTATATGTATGTATATTCGTCATCTTATAAAATAATGAGAAACATATAAAACCATTATAGTAGTACTTAACGTAAACTTTGATTGTGAAAAGGTTATAAAAGTTATAAAAACTTATTTTTATTTTTTAAATTAAGTTTCATTAGAAAAAAATTAAAATGATAATTTCCCTAATAAAAGGAGCTAAACTTAATGATGACTAAATAAGATAGCACTTTTTTTATAAACTAAAATCTAGATTACTTAACTACATAGAAAACACATAAGGTTGAAGTGAATTATTTTAAAAATAAAAATACAATAATAACTTTACTAATCTACCATTTTTGAGATTGCTGATTACGCATCTGAAGTCAGAATTTCAAAATTCAAAATAGTGCATACTGTTAGAACCGAAATTGATTTAGGCAACGGAAATAAATATGATTACGCGTATGTGCGATAAAAAGTAATTTATTATAAACATAATCTTCAAGAGATTATAAAAGATACAACAAATTTCATATTATCTGAAATATTCGTATGCACTGAGAAAAATAATATCGTAATAATAAGAAAATAATTTAGTTAAGCATTTTTAGTTGGCCTTACTAAAGTATGGTTGTCACAACAGAAAAGAAAGTGGCAATCAATCGAAAAATTTAGTTTGCTCTACCAAAAAATATTTTTGAAGGTTTCATGTCTACGAACTAAACAGTTTGGTTCTCCGTACTAAATCGCTGGCACGCAGAATTGCGCACGCGCTGTTCTCGAAAATGTGGCGTCGGTCGTAGGGCCTATAGTCAGTCGTGGACCTCTTCCGCGTTATGCTTATCCGATCATTTATGTCATGTGTTTTTATTGTTCGGCTGGTCTATTATCGTAGCAGTGTCATTAAAGTTTTATAAATATTTATTTTTTAAAAGTGTACTGAAAGTGTTTCTTTTATTTCGAAAGAATGGCTGACGAAGTGACAAAACGTTTGCTAAGAGAATGGGGGTTAGAATGCCTCGTGGCATTCTGTATCAACTTTTGAAAACTTGCTCCTCAATTTTATGCGATATCATTTTGAGATATTTCATGAAACGCGCGTAGTGTGTACTTACGGGAAGATAAATTATTTTTGTAATGTCTAAGCATAATGAATTTAATAAAGTTATATTATCAATCTCATCTCTCTTGAATTAAAATACCTTATTTTTTATACAAAATCGTAAAAATGACCAAATAAACTATTTTATATAAAATAAATTATTTAGTTATTTCTACAAAAAAATTTTTTTTAATCAACGAAAACAGTAAGTTGAAATAACTAAATTTTATTTACGCCAACAGAACATTTTTTTTCATTCTAATAAATGTATTTATTACGTAGACTAAATTATTTGGTTACACCTACTAAATAATTCAATTGAGCGAAATTTAACGGTTGGACAAATAAATTTAGTACTCCCAACCAAACTGGTTAGTTGCACATATATCAAATAAAAAATTTGGTAGGGACAACCAAACTTTGATACATGATACCAAACAGTTTTCTCAGTGAATTGATATGGTGCAAAAACTCCATTTCGTTACTATATGCATGAAACTTATTTTACTCAAAAAATAAATATTAGGTACTTTCAATTTCAAATCTAATTTTGTCATTTGTCTATCAATATTGATTAATCATTCGACACAAAGAAAACTCTATTCCGTGATCGCAGTAAATTTTGAATTTTATTAAGGGGTTATATACCTTTTCATGGGTCAAAAAATCGATTTTTTTTCATTGCATATATATGTCGTAGGCCGATAGACATTTCAGGCCGTTAGCCAAAATCCTGGCTTATTCTCTAATGGCCGGCCAGTAGAATACTGCGCTAATGGGCTACTAGACTGACATTCTTCAGGCCGTTAGAAGAAACTCTGTTTACATTATAATTCAACACACGTTAATTAATATAAATATTAGTAATTGCCTAATGAGGAAACGAGGTAGGTATTGTTCTTACATTTACCAAAGAGAATAATTTTGAAAATAAGTTTTAGTTTTCAAATAACTTTTGTTTAATTCAGTCACAATATGACCGAAAATATTGTAAATCGTGGCGCATTTGAAGCTAAATTGTTCACCTTTTATGACAAAAATGCAGCAAGTAATAGGTCAGTGTGGAATAAAATGCACGAGTTAAACGTTATTACATCTCTTATAGAATGTGAGGGAAAAAAACAAAAAAAAGTGCTTGTTTTAAGGCAAATATTTTGTGCAACTCACGATGCCATTTGAGTTCTTCGTGTTGCAATAAATAAAATTTAAAATAAAAATAGAAATTTGAACATGAAATCGTTAAATTATTATTGTTTCCTATAAATTGTTTCTTTTAATGGCCTAAAAATTGTCAGGCTAGTAGCCATCCAGCAAGTTATTCGGCTAATGGCCTATGCTATTGTCTACTGGCCGGCCATTAGAATATAAGCCAGGATTTTGACTAACGGCCTGAAATGTCTATCGGCCTACGACATATATAATTTTGAATTAGTGACTATTCGCTTATTCCCAGCTGCATAATCTGGGCTGATTAAAATAGTGACTATTCGCTAATTTTCACTATTTAAATTAGTGAAAATTCGCTAATTACTAGCGAATAGTCGCTATTTTGAATTAGTGACTATTAACTTAATCCCAGCTGCATACTCTGCGATAGGAATAAGCCAATAGTCACTAATTCAAATTTAGAGAGTAATATTGGAAATAAAATTTAGTTTGTCTCTGCCTGCTATTAAGTGACAGTCAAATTTTATCTTTTAAAAATGGAAAACGTTTCCGTAAATAGAGAAGAGTTTGAAATTAAATATAAAGAAGCACTTAATAACACTTCTCTTCAAAAATAAAAGTGCTATCTTATATCAGTCATATGTACCAGAATTTGAGCAAAGAAAAAAAAACTAAACAAATATTTTTTTCTCTCTTCTTTTTTTATTTCTTAGTTTAAAAGTTCTTTTCTCTAATTTTTATTGAAAAAACATCTTTTTATATTAGAGTATTCAGCAGGTGAAAAAAATTATATATTCATTTACTATATTTTTCTTATCTTGTTTAAAAACAAAAATTCTTAATTGTTAATTATATATTAAAAATATTATGATTCATTACATTCATTCTTAAAATGCATTTTATAAGTTTATCATAAATAATGAAGCATTATTAACAATTTTAGAATGATCATTTTCTAATTATACTTAAAATACTATCAATGTTTAAAAAAAAGAAGAAGAATCTATTTATACAATGGCGTAAAAATATAAATATTTATAATAATGGAATATAGTAATAAATAAACAAGTATAAAAATAAAAAAGTAAAAAAAAAATTAAGAGAAATGCCTATTAAAATTTTTTAGTTTGATTTTTCTACAGAAAGCTGTTTTATTTTAACTGTAACGAAATTGCCACAAAACAAGATATTAAAAGAAAAAGGAAATTATTCAATAATCTAAACTATAACTATGGCAAAAATAATTAAAAAAAAATAATCTTACACTTTATCATAAGTTCTAAATTGCTACTTAAATTACACATACATATATAGTAATTATCATTATATTTATAAACATTTATATGGCAAATCATTGATAATAAGACTTACAAAAGAAAATTACAAACTGAAGTTTGAATATAATATGTCAGTCATGTTTTTTTTTTTGATTAACAAGATTTGAAAAATTTTACTTGTATTTTTTTAAACATTTAAGAAAAAAAAATTGTGGCAATGCCCGTCAAGTATAAAACTGGCAACATTCTAGCCCACTTAATTATTAATTCACTAACTACAATAATCTAAATCTTAAATTTTTTTTGTTTCATAAAGTTGCAAATTTTAAAAAAAATTTATATATATATACAAATTTTTTTTATAAATTTTACATTTATTACTTGTAATAAAAAAAACAAAAAAATTGATTCTCAAAAAAGGATATATTACTTGTGAAATTTTTTTGTGTAGAAAAAAAAAATATAAAAATGATCATTGTGACTTGAAACTGATTTGCACACTGCTGTTTACTTGTCTTAAATTATTATTATTATAATAATAAAATAATGATTCTAAATTTTTATTAGTATAGGAAAATATTTCCTTTAGATTGTTAAACGAAATATGTATCCTATTTATATACTATTCTACTATATTTGTGGATTGACTTCATATTATATTTAACCATAAGAAGAAGTATATATATTCGTGAATAATTGAGTTTCTAGATAGATAAATAATTAATCTATAAAATTGATTCAGTTTAAAATTATTATTCATCTAGAAACTTAATTATTTTTAAACAAATTTATACTTAAATACATGATGAAAAGTGCTTATTATTTACCTACTATTGTGATAAATTTCTACAATTATTTGCCCAAAAAGCCATATTGTCCTGGTACATTACTCACGTATGCAGATGCTCTATTGGGAAATTCAGCCCATTTGGAAAAATCAATTCCAGGTAAAATACCAGTTCGACATGGAACTCGAGGATTTCTGTAAAAAAAAAAGTTAATACAAACAATCAATTATTATGAAACAAAATAAAATACATTCATAGAGGAATATTAATATTCCAATCGAATATAATGAACAAGAATTAAATGACAAAAATATTTTTCCCAAATAGTAATAAATTCTAACAATTTATTTGTTGAAAATAAAAAAATTTCTCCAGTTTAAACAAAAAATACATACAAATTTTAAGAATTTCCAAAAAACAATTATGTGCCTCACCTTCTGAACGTTCAATTGAACGAAATTAAAAAATTGTTTTTAACGCAAACAAAAATATAATAAATATGAATTTCAAACAATTTTAAAAGACCTAGATTTACTCCTTTCGAAAAAAATGATTTTTTTCCAAAATATTTTGTTAATAATTATTTTTTTAACATTTAGTTTTTTTTTCTTTTAAATCAGACAAAAATTGCAATTTTTAACTAATTTTTATAAACAAAAGCTCATTTTACTGAGTGAAACATTCTCTACAATTGTTACCTTTTTTATATTCTAATAAGTATGCGTTCTTAAAAAGTTATAAACAATTAAAATTTTATTTATTAAATAACTTTTTAAGAACATACTTATTACAATATAAAAAAGGTAACAATTGTAGAGAATGTTTCACTTAGTAAAATGAGCTTTTGTTTATAAAAATTGGTTAAAAATTGTAATTTTTGTCTGATTTAAAAGAAAAAAAAACTAAAAATTAAAAAAATAATTATTGACAAAATATTTTGGAAAAAAATAATTTTTTTCGAAAGGAGTAAATCTAGATCTTCTAAAATTGTTTGAAATTAATATTTATTATATTTTTGTTTGCGTTAAAAACAATTTTTTAGTTTTGACAGGTTTTTGAGGTTATGTTGACCCGCCACCCTCCTTAAACATTTAATAAATTTATAATTTATTTTTAAAAACAAAAAGTAATATTTTAGAATAAAATTTGAAGTTAAAAATGTAATAAACTACTTTTTTTGTTCAAATTTCAGTCACATAAAACAATTTTTTTAAAAAAAAGATAGATTTTGAGACGAAAAATCGCTTTAAAAAACAAAAATTTTTGAAAATTAAAAAAAATTCGTAATATCCTGAGTAGCTTACATTTCATGATCTGGCAATACCATGGGATAAATTTGAATGGTGTCAATAAGATCTGTATTATCGCAGATTAATCGAGCTAGTCTTGTTTTTCGAAGTTCAGTCAATTGTTCTGAAAAATAAAAATATCAAAATCTATTAAACACTCATACTGAAAAATATTCTTTCAATTCATGAAAACAAAAATTATAAATTAACTTTTTTTAGTCCTCAAAGGGTTAAATTATTTTTAAAAAATATATAAAATTATTGGTTTAAAAAATATAATCATACCAGGAGTAAAGGACGACGGTTGATTTGGAAGTTCATACCAAAATCGATCACCCCGCCTTGAGTTACTAAATTGTGTTGCAATAATGCATGCAAAAGTTGGTCCCAACATGCTACCTGGAAGAGGTCTTTCGGATACTCCTCCAGACCAAAGATCAACATCGTCTGGACTTCTGTAATTGCAAATTATATATATTTACATTTAATTTAAACTATTATATAGAAATTCAAATATAGGTGCTATAGAGGTGATAGAACTGATTTTTGTTTGTTTATTGCACCTACAGTCATAGCGGAGGCATTTTCATTGCATAAAAGGGGGACTATATAACATTAGTTTCAGGTAAAAGGTGCAGATGTCGCCGTTGTGGATCACGGTTATGCGCATGTGCAAATTTGAAAATTCAAATTATGCTTTTTATTTTCATGATTATAATTGTTTTATTAATCATTTTTGTGTCTTTATGTAAACCACATATGAGAATACAAAAAATTATTAATAAAACAATAATAATCATGAAAATAAAAAGGCATAATTTGAATTTTCAAATTTACACATGCGCATAACCGTGACATCTGTACCTTTTACCTGAAACTAAGGTATTACGATAGTATTACGATTTTTGAAATTATTAATTTTCTTTTTAAATTTAAATACTATGTATTCGTTCTTTTATATCAATTAAAATAATCTTACTCGAAAATGGAGCTGTATCGACGAATAGTTTCATTTGGCATTGATCCAAAAAGTTCTTCAAAAGAGCTTGCACCCGGAAGCCCACAGAATTTTCTATAAAAAATTAAATACCATATAATGTTTGAAAAAAGAACAATATTAATCTACATTAATTTTTTTTATTTAATTTATGTACCTGAATTCCATGTAACTTGGTATACCAAATTCACGACCTCGCTGCATATTAAATGAAACCAAATCCATGCCAAATTTAGCACCGACTTTTTTAAAAAGATGATTTGTTACCTGCAAGAAGAATCAGACATAATTAATTTTATTTATAAAAATTATTATTTTCTTCATGACATTTATATTAATAATTTTCAATTTTTTTTATGAATGATTTCAAATTGAAATTAAAAACATTGTGAAATGTATACTTTTTTGTACTGTTTTTAGAAATTTGCTACATACTATGAAAAAAAGTATATTTTTGCGCACTGTTTTTATAACTTTGCTGATTACTATCCAAAAAAGTATATTTTGCATTATTTTGATAACTTTGCTGCGTACTGTGCAGAAAAATATGCTTTTCTGAACTATTTTTATAACTTTATTGTATAGTGTGCATAAAGTATACTTTTCTACTCTACTTTGTTAACTTTAATACTCATTTTACAGAGAGGTAAATTATTATGCAATATTTTTATCTTTTGTTGCATACACTGAAAAAAAAAATTTATTTGATTCAAATAATCGATTACTTAACTGTTATCAAATAAATATTTATTTGTATCAAAGAATTATTTTTTGTCAATTAAATGGTATTTGTTTCAAAAACAGAATTTATTGTGTCAAATACAGTTTATTTAATTCAAATAAAATTGTTTGGTTCATAAGTAAATATTTATTTGATAATAGTCAAGTAATCGAATATTTGAATCAAATAAAATTTTTTTTTTTAGTGTACTGTGAAGAAAAGTATATTTTTTTGTACTGTTTCTTTTACTTTACTGTACACTGTGCAGAAAATTACATTTTTCTGCATTTGTTTTATAACTTTGCTGCGTATTACATAGCAAAATATACTTTTATATACTGTTTTTAAAATTTTGCTGTACAGTGTGAAAAAAATACTTTTCTGCACTGTTTTTAAAACTTTTTGTCGTACAGTGTGCAAAAAATATACTTCTCTGCATTGTTCCTTTAACTTTTCTGCGCACTATACAGAAAATTATACTTTTCCGCAATAATTTTTGTAAATTTTCTGAGCACTGTACAGAAAAATATATTTTTCTATGCTGTTTTTATAATTTTCCAGTACAATGTGAAGAAACATATACTTTTCCATACTATTGTGATTATACTTAAAGTAAAAAGAATTGGCTACAGTTTGTAATATAAATTTATGACTAATTAATTGTGCCGAAAAATTAATTTTGTCATAAAATTTCAAGTAATCTCTTATTCATCAAATAATATAACCAGATCTCTAATGTTGACGAAACAAATCAATAAATTCCCCGGAAGGAATCCCCCTAGAGACTTTGATAATAATTTCCGTTAGAATTCCAATGGAATACTAAGGGGAAATTTTTCAAAATCTTCCATTTATAATTTGTAGTTCTATACTGTATATATATATATATAAATGAGATTAAGTCACTTACTTCTTGTGTAATAGAATCGTCCATAGCCTGAGCAACTTGATTCATCAGTCCCATGAAATATTCATCGATAACACCGGCACGATAGAGATCATAAGGTCTCCTAATGAGATCTGACAATCTCTTTGAAGCTATTTTCAAACATTAAAATTATATCATTACATTTTTTTTTTTGGTAATTGAATTATAATGCTAATTTTTCAAATAAAACATACCGATGAATTTGTGTGCCTTACTCCATCTCTCAACAGCAGTTGGTAGTAGTGAATGTCCAAATCTAAAAGCTGCCGAAGCGAAGGCATCAATAACAGTGGGATTAACTTTTGAATCATATCCATTCCAATGTCCCTGTTGAAAAATGGTAAATAAAATTTTTATTATTTAAATTTTGAATCTATGTTTCCAAAAATTCAACATTTTTTTTTTATTTTAACTAAAGAATTTTTTAATTCATAAAAATAATAAGCTACCGTCGACCGGGGCTATTTTACTCACAGCTAGGGGCTATTATACTCAGCGCCAGTTTTTAATTAATAAAATATTTATATTGAAATGTTTAAACTTGGTGTAAATATTGTTTAATAGTTTTATTACAGAGGGCGCTAAATTTTGTTACTTAATTTTTTTTATCAGAATGCAGAAAAAAAATTCATGAAGTCGTGAAAGTCTGCAAAAAACTTTTTTTTCCTAAAATAACTGTAAAAGCTTGTTAGAAATTATATTGAGTTGTTTATTTAATGTTAATTTAAAAAAAAAAATTTACCTCTTTTAATAAATGTAGATTTTAGTAAAATTTCAATGTTTAACTTTATTTTATAAATAAACAAACTTTGCTGAGAATAATAGCCCTAACCGTGGGGCTAAATGTTAAACTTTAAAATTTGTTACAACAATTGTATACAAATTTTTTTTTAATTTTTTATCGTAATTTAGACTATTTGCAGAAAAAATTTTATATAAAAATAAATATAATAAAAATAAAATAAATAATAAATAAAATAAATATAATAAATAAATATAATAGCCTCAACCGCGGGGCTATTATACTCACCACTAAAAGTTTTCATGACTAGTAAAAAAAAAAATTTTTTCTCGTCTAACTTACAGGATACCTTCAGACAGATGTCCACAACATAACACAAGAGTTGAAATTTTTTTTTTTTAATTCTGAATTTTGGTGAAGCACTGAGTAAAAAAGTAGCGTTTTTTCGAGTATAATAGCCCCAGTTTTAACGATAATTATATTTCTTGTTTTCATTTAAAAAAAATAAAATAAACTCCTACATTTTTTTGTAGTAGTAATCCAAATTTCTCCATGACATCTTTGCCCAATAAAATAGGTAAAAATTCATTATATGTAACATGTTGTATTTCAGCAATGACAATACGTCGAGCTTCCTGGAAGAGAGTCTCATCATCCCAATGAGGATTTACTTTAGTCAAAGCTTTTGCAGCTCTATTGTGTTCTCTAGCCATGAGGGTATGCATACAAGCGAGTACCAATTGTTCGTTTACTCGAATTTCCCCTATTAAAAAATAAAAATTACTTTTTTCCATTCTTCGTATTATTCAGAATGATTTTTATGTTCCGGACCTTCGAAAAAAAATTTTTAATCTCTTTTTTTTCTTTTTTTAAACAAAAAAAAAATTTAAAAGGTCTCGAACATAAAAATCACTTTAAATAATAAAAATAAAATTTTGCTTTCAAAATTATAATTTCTAATTGACAGAAAGATAATAATTAAAAAAATAATAATAATAAATATAAAAGTAGATATAATAGAAATGATTTAAAATTTTAAAACGTTGACGGCAAACCTAAATAAAACAATGATATCTCTTATATAAATAATTGTGCGTTAGGTGATTGAAATCAAATATTTTCATCACGCATAAAGGTGTGTCTCGTGAACTGGGTTTCTAAATCATCGAAAGCAGTACCATTAAACAAACAAGAGCAAATCTGTCTTGGGGCTGAATTTCGAAAGAATCACAAGTCGCATAACGCAATTTTATATATCACGAGGAACCAATATCTAATGATCTCGTATTGATTATTGAATCACTGCGTTTTATATTATATTGACTGACAATTAATATTTAATCCAATTTCACAATTAAAAATTACAATTTATTTTAACAAATCTATTCAATTTGAAATTTTATTTTATTTTGTTTGAAAACAATTTTTCCAAATGTCAACCTTTTTCTTATGTTAAAAAGAAAGTTTCATTGGTTCTTCGTTTTATATAATTTTCTATATTATAATTTTATAGTTTTCTTTTTTATTAGTATTTAAAAATGATAATTAAATACTATGATTGATGCGAAATTAAAATAGTCAATGAATCTTAATAGAAAGAATCGGGAAACTTTCAAATCTGTTATATATTTAATTATGTCCTTAAAGTTTTTAGCGTTCAAATAAATTTTGTTACTTTTTGTAAGTTTGGATTTTAGTACATAATATTAATTTGCACATTAAAAAAAGAATTACTTTATTAATAAATGTTGAATTTATTTTTTAATTAATTTTATTAGAATGCAATAATTTTAGAAAATATCTAAACGGGAAAAATAATTTTCCTTCATTTTAACGTTCAAAACTTTAGAGAGACATATTTAACTATTTCACACACAGGTTTGTATTTTGCATATTAAACTTGTTACTCTGAGATTTTTTCATGATTGCTGATTATTATGAATATATCAGTTTTCAAATTAAAATTTGACAAAATTTATTTTTTAGTCGAATTTTTACTTAACATATTTTTTTGGGATCGAATTTTTAACAGTTAAAAATTAAAAAATTAAAAATTAAAAAATTAAAAATTAAAAAATTCTAATTTAACCAAATATTAATTTTAGCAGAATTCTCATTCAACAGAATTTTTAAATAACAGAATTTTCAATTCACCGAATTTTAATTTGTTCTAATTTTTATTTAACAGAATTCTTCCTAATATCGAATTTTTATTTATTTATATTTTTATTTGAACGAATTGAATTTTTTTTTTTTTTTGACAAATTTTCATTTATTCGAATTTGGTAGAAATTTTATTTTAAAGAATTTCTTCTTACACAACTTTTTGATTTAAAAGAATACTAATTTTAACGAATTTTAATTAAGCAGAATTTATAATTTAATATAATTTTAAGTGCTTGGGATTTTTTAATGCTAGAATTTTCAATTCATTGAATTTCCATTTGTTCAAATTTTTATTTCATAGAATTCTTAAAACGCCGAATTTTCATTTTGTTTGAAATTGCAAATAGCCGATAAACAATCGACAAAAAAAAACGGTACGAATTTAAAAATTAAATAAAAAATTAACACGAAAATTGTGATTGATCAATTTTAGAATTAGCACATTTTTTTTGTTGGCCATTTGCAGTTTCGAACAAATAGAAATTCGGCATTTTAAGAATTCTATTAAATAAAAATTCGTGCATATATAAAGATTCAGTGAATTGGAAATTTTGATATTTAAAAATTTGAATCGCATAAAATTCCATTGAATGAAAATTCAAAAGGGATGAAAATAAATGTTTTATTGATTTTTAGTTTTCTTTAATTTTAATTTAATTTAATTTTTAAAAACTCACCAGCCTCGAAGCAGAACATTGAATCATTTGGTCGTGTGCAGCCTTCATCGGGAATGTCTAACTTAAGGGGCAACAGGTCCTTCAGTCCATATTCAGAAAATACTGGATTCATCCTCAAAAGTCCTCCATAGCCAGTTCGAAGTTTTCTAATTAGAAATAATTAATAAAAAAATTTATAATAATTCAAAATAAATAAATATAAAGACATTAAAATCAAATTGTCAATCAAATAAATAAAATTAAATACTATTGTCACAATTATTATATTATAATAATTAAATTAAAAATAATTAAAATAATATAATTATTATTATATTTAAAATAATATTATTTTCTTTTGTAATGAAAAGAAAATAATCGCCTATGTATGCTAAATCATCGATGACTTTCAATTAACTGAATTATATGTTTCATTTATTAATATGTCTTGAGAAAATTATTATGAATTGTAAATCAATTATAACATTTATAACTATAAAGGTAATTCACTTTAACAACTATAATTGTTGATTTGACGTAAAACAAAAATTGTGTGGTCTCACTGAATAACTGTATAAGAGAGAAGATTATATATATATATATATATTGATTGAGTAACTCAATTCACATGACTTGCAGAATAGAAAGTGTTTAGCCCTGCTTTATAAATACGGGATTCACAATAGTGATTTATGGCCTCTTAATGGCGTAATATAGAACTCGCAATAAACTGGAGTACAGCGAACTTAATTTTCTCTCTCTTAACATTAATTTTATAAGACAAACATTTTTCTAATATAAAATAACAAAAAAAAAAATATATATATATTTCTGCTGGAAAAAAATGATGTGAAAGTTTTCCATTGAGCTGAATAAATTTTAATATATTGACAATTATTATTATATTTGTTTTTATAGAAAATTATTTAATAGAAAATTATTAAAACACTCGTAAATTTGTCTTTATATACCTGGCATGAAAGTCTGTTACTCCATAAACAGTATTCCCGTCGAGAACACCTGTAAGTAGATTGAAAGGAACTCTACTTCCAAGACGGCAGCCTGGACGTACTGATGGAAAAGCGCGAACAAAATCCATACAACGAACATTAAATAGACGATAAAAATAATCATCCTCGGGAATATGAATTTCATTGCAGTATGGATGCTTTTGATGTGGTGGTCGATTACAACATTCTTCCGGATCATTACGATTAAAAGGATCTGAAATAATTAATATTATTAAATCGCACTATTAATATCCATGAAGTTGGCGTCGACGCTCAGCGTCGAAATTTTAATTTTCACGAGACCAAAAATATCAAATGATTTTTAAAAAGATTTTGGGACCACATAATATCTTGAAAAGTATTTCTCAAGGCTTGAAAATCTTAAAAAAAATAATTTCATACTTTTGGTCCTGTGAAAAACAATTTTCGGCGTTGAGCGTCGACGCCAACTTCATGGAGGTCACTATTAATCATTTGTATATATAGGAGGTATTCTACGCCAAAATTAGTTACCATTTTTGCATTTACATTGCCGATTTCTTTTCTTTTCTTTTAGTACTAATTCAAACTAGCTTTCGTGATTTTTTTTCAATTTTTTTTTAGCAAACCAAACAAGATATGAATTTTTCAGAATTTTAATGCATCAATTTTAAAAGTTCTTTTTTTTTTTTTTTTGAAAAATTGTGTGTTTTTACGTAAACTTTTCAAAAATTCAAAGCAAAAAATTGTGGAAAAATAATTTTTATTACATTTTTTGCAATTTAAAAATTAAAATTTTATTTTTAAAACTGAACGGTTGCCATTTTTTTTTTTTTAATAAATTAACAGCCTTGTAGCATTATTCTTATTTGCTTCTGAAATTATTATAAAATTATTAATAACAATAAAAAATTTTTTTGGGTACCCATTTTTTTTTGCAAATTTCTTTGATATAGTGTTTTTTCATATAAAACAGAAAAACTATATTTCAACAAGAAATAAAATTCTTATTCAGTAGATTTTTTAAAATTTTTCAAAAAAAAATTCAAAAGATACAATTTTAAAAATAAAATTTTATTGCTTTAAATTGCAAAAAAATAGTAAATTATTTTTCTAGAATTGTTGCTTCGAATTTTCGAAAAATTCTCGTAAAAACACACAATTTCAACAAAAAAAGAATTTTTAAAATTGTTGCATTTTTAAGGAAGTTATGACCATTCAAAAGTAACAAATCATTAAAATTTAGAAAATTTAAAAACATTCATATCTCGTAAACAGATTGATAAAATTTTTTTTTTTTTTAAACCATTGAAACCATTGAAATCAGTCATTCAGTCATATTTCACTTAAAATTAGTAGAATTCTTTACTGCTTGAAACAGTCAAATCTGTTTTAGCGATTAATGATAATGTAGATTTGACTGTTTAAATCAGTTATAATTCTACTAATTTTTAGTGAAATATTCAGCGGAATTCCTACTGAAGTGATTCAGTTTCTAATTTTCAACTATTTCGTCAGTGAAATCTAACTGATTCAAATTTAGCCAAATCAAAAATGTCAAAATCAACTATATGTTGGAATGGCATAGATTATTTAACGTTTACCATTAATTTTTAAATAATTTTTTTTTCTATTTTATTAATAATTCTTTTTATTTGAATTTATATCTTCCTTTTCTTTCTATTATTTTTGCTGTTTACATTTTCATTATGTTACCTATGAATGTCTTCTCTCTCATTCTATTATTTCAAAAAATATATATCTCTAAATTCAAATTCAATATTTAATATTATTTTATGTTTAATATTTATTAATTTATAATTTTTATAATAATTTTATAAAATTAAAATTTTTGACTATTGAAATACGATTTCAATGCCCCCTTAAACGAATCAATTTCTTAATTTATAAATAAATTCATTTGTTTAATAAAAAAAAAAAAAAATTATTACCTATATACAAATTTTTTGGAAATTAACGTTATTTATTTTAAAAAAAACCACCTGGAACAAATAGAATTGTGAAAAAAAAAAATTTATGGAATCATAAAAAGAGTTTACTCTTACTAGCAAAGTGGAGGTGCAAAGATGAGACATATTTTATCAGCACATGTCATGCATATTGAGAATTGTGAAAAAAAAGAGGAAAAATAGATACTCTCTTCTCTTATGGAAAAGTTAATATATCTACATTTCATTACATAAGATCAAACGTTGTACTTTCGAAACACATTTTTCCTATATGTACGTATGTATATATATATATATATATATATATATATAAAAGATCCCCTCTTGTATGAATTCTGTCCTTTTCCTCGCACATATCGAATTATGTAATATGAAGAAAAAAAAAAAAAAAAAAATTCCGGCTACTTGATTAACCGGTACAGACACACGTATATTTTAAAAGAGAGGTGTCTCTGCGGGGTAAGTTATACACACTTACCGAGAGGAGTGGCAGTGAGGGTATAGTCGTGATCCATGAATTGGCCCCAAGCAATAACCATGACGGTTCCCGCGTGATCGTGAAAACCATCGTCAGGATGCATAGTACGTGAGACAATACGTGATAGTGGCAAATTACGACCAGATTTTGCTATTCTTGGCGCTGACATTCCATCCGCAAAACGAGGAGGCAGCAATCTGCAAAAAAAAAAAATTTTTTTATTATCATTTTCATTATCAGACAGATTCAATTTTTTTTTTTTTTGTTATTTTAAAGAATTTAATTCGATATAATTACTTTTTAGACGAATTTTCTTTTTTCGAATTTTAACAGAATTTCTTTTTAAAATAAATTTTTAATTAACAAAATTTTTAGGTGCCAAATTTTTATTTTACAAAATTTTACTTTACACAAAGTTTTATTTAAAAATTTTTCTAACTTAAATGAATATTAGTTTAACAGAATTTTCATTCATACAAAATTTTAAGTTATTGAATTTTTTAAATACCAGAATTTCAAATTCATTGAATCTTTATTTATTGGAATTTTTTTATTTTCATCAATTGTTATTTATGATAAAAATTCCTAAAATACTGTATTTTCATTTGACCTTAATTAAAAATCGCCAACCAACAATCGACAGAAAGATGATTCTAGAGTCGATTTAATTTGGTTTTAATCTCAAAAAATCGAATTTTTAAAAATTACAATAACCATAGGACCGAATTTTGAAAAATTCGAATTATCATAGTATAAAATATCTAAAAATTCGAATAATCAAAAGATCGAATTTTGTAAAAGTTCGAATTTCTAGAAGACTGAATTACAAAAAGGACAGAAATTTTAAAAATCCGAATTTTTACAAAATCAATTTTCTGAAAGTTTGAATTATTAAAGAATGAAATTTCTAAAAGATAAAATTTTTGAAATTTCAAATTACAAAAAGATCGCAATATTAAATGATATTTGCAGTTTCCAACAAATGAAAATTCGACGTTTTAAAAATTCAATTTAATAAAAATTCGGTGAATTGGAAATTTTGGCATGTAAAAATTCAGATCACTTAAAATTCTGTTCAATTAATATTCGGTTACATGAGAATTTTTATTATATAAAAAGTTGGGTAAAGAGAAACTTTGAAAAATAAAAATTCTGTCAATTAAAAATTCGATACCTAAAAAATCGGTTAAGTAAAAATTCATTTAATAAGAAATTACGAGCCAAAAGTTTTGAACGTTCAAATGAACAAAATGTATTTTGCAACTTCTTTAATTATGACTTTTATTATAAAATATTTGTTTTAAATATTTAAAAAGAAGTTATTAATTTAATATTTGTTTAATTTACTGCTTTATTTTACATTGACATTATAATTTTTAATAATTTATAGATTGAAAAAAATATTTTGTCCATTTGAACGTTCAGAACATTTGGCTCATAAGAATTTATCAAATGCTAATTAAAAAAAAGAAAATTCGTCCAAAAAATAATTATATTTAACCCATTAACGCCCAAATGTCAACAATTTTTAACTTAACTTCAATGAAAGAATTAAAACATTAAAAAACCAGATATTTTAATGCCCATAAGTTCTAGGGGGTATTGGGTATCGCTCTTTCAGATTTTGAGGTCAAAATAGAGATTGGTCGACCAGAAAATCCAATATGGAGAATAAAATAAAAAAAAACCCAAAAAATCATTGTTTTTTTTTAAACATTTTTTTTGAAGCCGAAAACATTTTTTCTAAGACATCTAACCTATCCTATTGGTGGATAAAATAGTTGTACTTTTAAACTATGTTCATGAGAACCTTCAATTTCAAGATGGCGGACTCAAAATGGCGGAAAAGTAAATGCAATTTAGTAGATATGAACAGAATATTGAACTAACAGTTAAAAAGTCATTAATTCTGCCTCAAAATGGTTACTCAGGGGTTCTCGGGGTCGCTGATTACGAATCTGAAGTCAGTTTTTCAAAATTCAAAATGGCGAATCCAATATGGCGGATTATTTTTTAAAAATTCATTGAATTTGCTTGAAACTTATTACTCGAGGGTTTTCGAGGTCGCTGATTACGAATCTGAAGTCAGTTTTTCAAAATTCAAAATGGCGGATCCAATATGGCGGACGATTTTTGAAAAAACTTCATATATTTGTCTGAAAATAATTACGCGGGGGTTTTTGGGGTCGCTGATTACGAATCCGACGTCAGTTTTTCAAAATTCAAAATGGCGGACGACTTTTGAAAAACTTATTAATTTAAATTAACCTGTTTATCAAAATTATGCGTGCAAAAAATGTTTCACTCCATACTTTTTCTTTTTAGAATTACCAGATTACGAGTTACAAGCCAGATTTTCAGAATTTGACTATTTTAAAGAAATATCTTAAAAATTGTAGAATTTTAAAAATTTTGACTTTAGATTAGTTTTCAATAATTCAAAAACTTCTGGAATTAAAATTTAATAAAAATCGAACAATTTTTTAAAAATTCGTTTAATAGATTAAATTCGCACATTTTCAATATGAAAAACTGACGTCGGAATCGTTATCAGTGACCTACAAAGTTACCAAGTAAGTAGTTTCCAGTGATTTTAAATATTTGTCGGCCATATTGGATCCGCCATTTTGAAATTTGAAAAATAGACTTCAGATTCGTAATCAGCGACCTCGAAAACCCTCGAGTAATAAGTTTCAAGCAAATTCACTGAATTTTTAAAAAATAATCCGCCATATTGGATTCGCCATTTTGAATTTTGAAAAACTGACTTCAGATTCGTAATCAGCGACCCCGAGAACCCCCGAGTAACCATTTTGAGGCAGAATTAATGACTTTTTAACTGTTAGTTCAATATTCTGTTCATATCTACTAAATTGCATTTACTTTTCCGCCATTTTGAGTCCGCCATCTTGAAATTGAAGGTTCTCATGAACATAGTTTAAAAGTACAACTATTTTATCCACCAATAGGATAGGTTAGATGTCTTAGAAAAAATGTTTTCGGCTTCAAAAAAAATGTTTAAAAAAAAACAATGATTTTTTGGGTTTTTTTTTTATTTTATTCGCCATATTGGATTTTCTGGTCGACCAATCTCTATTTTGACCTCAAAATCTGAAAGAGCGATACCCAATACCCCCTAGAACCCATGGGCATTAAAATATCTGGTTTTTTAATGTTTTAATTCTTTCATTGAAGTTAAGTTAAAAATTGTGGACATTTAGGCGTTAATGGGTTAATAAAATTCTTTAAAATGAAAATTTTAACTATTATGATATATATATATGATGACAAAAATGTTATATTTTATAAAAATGGCTCATTGATACTAACAAAAGATTTATCATCAATAATTCAAAATCTACGGCATACATTTTTGAAAAAAAAAAAAAAAATTAAAATGTATCTGACAAGAATGAAAAATGACTTGATTTTGTATTCAATAGTGTATTTTCGTATGAATATATAAGAACAATATTTATAACAGTTTTACTTATTACTATTTGTGTGTATATATTTATGTACATGAATTGTTCTTCGCATGAACTCAAACCCGTTCACCGTGAGACTTTACGAAGGCTGAAAAAAATTCTTTAGATGAAAAGAAATTTCTTTAAGAATACATTGCATGTAGATATAAATATTTTTTTTTTTTTTTGAACTTCTCACCTCGCAAATGGCGATAACGATGCACCCCATGTAGGGTTCTCCAAGTTTGTACAGAGACCATCGAAGCGACGATATTTACCAGCTCGACACTCTACATCTCTTAAGAAAGGTGGACACACCTCGTAAATAAGAGTCTTGGATGTATCGATCAGCGGAAGACGTGTTTCAATTTCTTCCCTTGTAAGACCGTACCTACAAATATTTCATATTTTTTTTTATGTAAAATATTTATTTTTAAATTTATATATTTAGAAGTAATAAAACAATGTTTAACACTTAAATCCTTCAAAAATATATGTATATTTTTATATCTTACAAAATTCATCATTGAATATTTTGTATATTAATATTATTATTATTATTATTTAATCTCATGATTATTATTTTTGAAAATTTGGAATAATTAAGGAGAGGGACCAGTGAAACTTCAGCCTATCGAAATTAATATTGTTAACTTTTTTTCTGGTATTATTTAGGATCAAAAAAAAGTATATAATTAATATTTTTTAAAAATTATTTTTACCGATTTTGGAAATTTTATTTTCTGCAAAAATTAAAATTTTTTAAACCCATACGATTGTTCAAAATCATGAAGAAAAAAAACGTATAAAAAATTCGGAGATGAAAAATAATCAAAATTGTGGAAGAAGTTGAATTTTTGCAGAATCACCAGTAAAATTTAAATTAATCAAAATTAGCCTTGTTTAGAGGGAAATAATTATTTTTGTTTTCTTGTTTTCAGAACCTGAAGTCACATTTCACTATGAAAAATGAAAACAGTAATTTTAAACTATTTAATCCTTTGAGGACCAGTATTAATTTCAAGAAACATTAACATTTCTTTGTTAACTGATGATTAACTTTTTGGAATTTTAAAAATGAATATTGAAACAAAGTATTTTATTTAATCTATTAAATTTCCTATTTCAAACACTGGTTTTTCGACAAAAAATTTTAATTAGTTTTGCTAGAACAAATTTTTTTTATTTTTCAAAATTTTCATTTTTTGAAACAATTAAAATTTTTCAAATTTATACGCTTGATTGTTTAAAATAATGAAAGAAACCTATGAAAAATCGTCAATGAAAAATAAGAAAAATTGTGAAAAAAATTCTATAATTTAAACTTTTTGGGAATTTTTATTTTTAAAAAATATATTAACAAATTAATTGTTTTTTTTAATTTTTCAAATTATATTATAATTTTAAATACTCAATATTGTCAGAAAAAAATTGACAGGCCTAAATAACATTAATTTTGATGGATTAAAATTCCACTGGTCCACAAAAATATAGAATTTGGAGAGCATGATTATCTCATAAAAATCACTAGTTAGAATTATTATTTTCAATAATTTTATTAAATATAATTATTATTTTTATAATAATAATTATTATTATTATTTTAGGTACCAAATTTTTATTTCACAGAATTCAACTTGAATTTTAAGTGATTCAAATTTTTAAATGTCAAAATTTCCAAATTACTAATTTACTAAATCGTCAAAGAAATAAAAATTCGTCGTTTTAAAAAGTCTATCAAATAAAAATTCATACAAACAAAAATTCGAACAAATGAAAATTCCGTGTATTAGAAATTTTAACATTTAAAAATTCGAATCACTTAAAATTCAACAGAATGAGAATTCTGCTAAATTAAAATTAAAAATGTTGCCAATTAAAAATTCGATACCTAAAAATTCTGTTAAATATCAATTATAAAAATCAAAATTTGTTTAAAAATTAATTATATCTAATAAAATTCTTAAAAATGAAATTTCTAATAGGGTCAGCCGGGGTAAATCCGAACGCTTTTAGTAAGTTTCAACAATAACATATAAGTTTTTTCTTTTAAAAGACAATACTTCCGGTATTCTGGTGCATGAAGTTGTTACTTTACTTCCATAGAACAATTTTATGGGGTAGCAAAAATTTTTGATAAATTACAATCGCAGAAAACTTAGCGTTCGTATTTACCTCGATACTTTGCAACTTTCCTAAAATACCGGGGTAAATACGAACGCCACTGTATTTCAGAAAAATCTTAGGGAAAATAAATTTAAAGTATTGCAATTGTTAAACTTATATAAAAACTCAAAAAAAATACGATAATAAACCTATTATGTAATAATGCATCATATATAAATACAAAAATCAAACAGGTTAAAAATTAAAATGCATTACACAATTAAAACCTTCAATAACTTTATCAAATCATAACGGATTTTTGCAAAACTTGCTACAGAAAGTATTTTGGAGTGATTGAATGTAAATACAAAAATAAAAGTCAAATTTTTTAAATTCAAAATGGCGGATTCAATATGGCGGACTTTCCTAAAACTTATTTTTAAAAATGATCAAATTTGCTAACTCCAAATTCGTAATCAGCGACCCGGAAACCCCCCGAGTAACAATTTTAGAGCGAATCTAATGAACTTTTTAATTCTCGTCCGCCATTTTGAATTTTGAAAAACTGACTTCAAATTGGTAATCAGCGACCCCAAAAACCCTAGAATACCAAATTTTATTAAGATCCTGAAAAACTTTTTTCAACAAACCATTTGGCAAAAAAAGTGGATCACTCCTTCGAGAGAACAGAGATTAAGTTTCTGCTTATTAATTACTAACGAGGATATACGTATAGAAAGAAAAACTTTTTTCTATGTACTTTTATAATGTTAAAATAATAGTGTAATGAAATAAAAACAATTTTGTGTGGCTCTGATGTAAAAAAAAATTATTGAAAATACCGTTCAGATTTACCCTGGTATTCAAATTTTCCGGGGTAAATACGAACGGTCTGATATTATTGATAAAATTTTACAGAAGGCAAAAATGAAAAATAGTTTCTGTTCTAGTATTCATAACAAACAATTATAAATAATAAAATGAATTTTTAGCTTCTTTTTCTTCAAATACGAGACAAAATACTGAAAGAGTGTCATCTTTGATTTTCAATCTTTTTCGCAATACTCGTTATCTTTGTTTATGCTGTTGCTAATTAACAAACGAAAAATGGGATAATACTTAGAATCTCTTCAAGAGGATCTGAGGTAAAAATTCTTATGTCTAACTTATTTTTTAAAATTTTAATTAAGCTGAAATAATTAGGTAGCGTTCGGATTTACCCCGGCTGACCCTAAATGATTTTTATGGAATAATCATGCGCCTCATTTTAATATAATAATTTAATGAAAAAATGTTGAATTTTAAAATACTTAATTTTTGTATAATTGTCTGGAGATAAAGACGGCTTAAAATTTTTTTTTACTTTTTTTTTTCTTAAGGTATTCAGCTTGACCGCAGACGATCGGCAAGTAGTCAGACAGTTGTGGTCAATACTCTTATAATTTTTTTTTTTTTTGACCTTCTGGAAAAGTGATCGTACAATCGTTCGAACGATTCGTCTCACTTTCATTAAAGTTATCACTTATACCATCACATTATTTCTCCTTCCGGAAAAAATGTGTATACTTAAGACTTGGATATAATTACTGTAACTCTAAACTTGAGAAAGTTAAAAAATATTGATGATATAATTTACAGAATAAAATTGTATTTAGAAAGTAATAAAACTCCCACTGCCACAAAAAATAAATAAATAAAAAAAAAAACATGTTCTGACAATATTAAATATATGGTAAATGCTATTTTTCTCCTCAGACTTGTATAAGTAATACCAACTAACGAAAAAAGAAAGAGAATAAATTTGTAGCAGTAAAAATATATTACTTACATTTGGGCAATTTGAGTCGAAATGTCCAAAAGTAGTTCACCAACTGTTGCCAATTCATCGGGTTTCCAAATATTTGTTTTGGGTTGAGCGACTCCTATTTAAATCGTAAAATGAAAAAATATAATTTTCTATTTTGTTAATATGCATAAATATTCTCCACATTAGACTTGTGGAAATTTTTGTCGAGTCGAATTAACCCTTCACTGGCACAATTCCGCATTCGAACGTAAATGGCACAATGGGTCTGCTGGACCCGACGTATTCAAACGTGTATTGTACAGTCGGTATTGAATAGTTTTGAACAAAAATTTAATCTGAGGTAGCTTATGATGTGTTTTATAAAATTTCATTAGTTTTACAGGGATCAATTTATTTTAAGTTAGTTAAAAAAAATTGTGAAAAATAAAAACGAAAAATTGCGTGTTTTTACTTAAAAATTCATGAGTTATTTAAATTTTAATATTAGTACTTAAAAAAATTTAAGGTTATGATGTATATTATTCTTTAAGGAAAAAATTACCACATGGTCTACTGGACCCATGTTAACCGTTAAGTGTTAAGAATTATCGAATTTTTATTTAGCAGGATTTTATAAATTGAATTTCATAATGAACCTAATTTTTATATTAAAAAATTCAGCTTGTAAGTAGAATTTCTCTTAAAAATGACAATTCGGTGAAATAAAAATTATTTTTTATGAAAATTTTGCTAGAAATAAATTCTGTTAAATGGAAATTGTATATTATTTGAAAATTGAATGTATGAGAAAATCTGCTATACAAAAATTCAGTAAAATGGAAATTAGTATAAAATCAGAATTTAGTTAAACAGAAATTCTGCGATTTAAAAATTAGGTTCATTATAATATCCATTTTATAAAATTCTGCTAAATAAAAATTCGATAATTTTTAATTCCACATCACACAAAAATTCCGACAGGTCTAATGTGGAGAATATTCGAGCGTCTCGTTAAAACTATGGAAAAGGTTAAGAATAGGTTAAAAAATTCACTGCAAAATAAAATTTCAAAAAAATTTTTAAATTGTTTTCATTCATTAGATGCACTTTTAATCTCCTTTGGAATACAATTTTTTGTTAGATTGTTTGGTTCCTACATTTATAAAATTCTTCTAGCTATTGTAGTTGAAAGTATAGGAACGTCTAATGAATGATAACAATTTAAAAAAATTTTAAATGTTACAATGTGAACTATTCTGTGATTTTAATAAATTAATTTTAATAGGTAAGAAAATACTTGAATCTGAAATTCTTGCGTTTTTTAAACTTTTTTAACGAATAAATTAAATTATAAAATGTACCTACAATATTTGAATATACATACAGGGTGTTCCAAAAGTATGGAAACTTACAAATATCTCGAAAAATACGAATTTTCGTAAAAAATGTTCAACACAAAAGTTGTTCCAAACAAAAAGATCTACATTTTTGAAACCAAAAAATTGGGCCCGGAGCCCAACGTTGGGCCCTACAATGAAATAAGTGGTTTTCTTAAATGAGACCACAAATTTTCAGTATCAAATTCGAAATCCCCATGAAATTCTGTGCTCAGACATGTGGTATAAGTGCCCAAAATATTGGGCCCAATCTAAGATAATGGGCCCAAAATTTTTCTACAGATAAATAAATTTTGAAAAATCAAACATTGGGGGTTTTTGGAGTCGCAGGATTAGAAATTCGAAGATAATTTTCAAATTGGGCACGGAGCTCAATGTAAGATTCCGCGGCCCAATTAAAAAAAGTTTCCTCAAATAAAACCATCTAATTTTCAGTATCCATTTCATAATCATAGTCTCATCCTCACATTTTTACTCTCCCTCCTCTTTTCATCAAATTCACAAACATAATACTAATTTTAGTGATGTCATTTAAAAAAAAAAAATTTTACTGTGGCCCCCAATTGGGGTAAAAAATTTTACATTTGGCTCTAAGACTAATTTGAAAATTAGCTTCAAAATTCTCATCATATAAGCCCAAAACCCCCCCCAATGTTTGATTTTTCAAAACTTATTTATCTGTAGAAAAATTTTGGGCCCATTATCTTAGATTGGGCCCAATATTTTGGGCACTTATACCACATGTCTGAGCGCAGAATTTCATGGGGATTACGAATTTGATACTGAAAAAAATGTAGATCTTTTTGTTTGGAACAACTTTTGTGTTGAACATTTTTTACGAAAATTCGTATTTTTCGAGATATTTGTAAGTTTCCATACTTTTGGAACACCCTGTATATTGTCAATTTCAAGTGAAATTTAAGTCGACCACTCAAAAATTCGATTGAATATATATTTTTCTATTTTTTAAAATTTTTCTTTTTTTTAAAAAAGTGCCCGAGTTGTCAATTTTTTCAATTTTGGTCTTTCAATGTTGACCTTCTTTCAAAGGCATATAACACTAAAAATATTGAATTTAGCAAATTTTTGACAAAAAAAGGAAAAGTTTCAATTTTTCTTCAACTTTTGAATAATGATCAAAAAAAATTTTTTTTTTCAATTTTTATTAAAGAATTAAATTAACAATTTTTTAGAAACAAATTGCTATTTAAAAAAAATTGAAACAAAAATTTTTTGTTAACATTATTCAAAAGTATTAATAATTGTATTTCAAACATTTAGGTACTTAAATATTATATATAATAATATAGCTTTTTAAAATTATAGTAGAACGTTACTGCAAAATATTTCAGTAATATTCAAAACAATATTACAGCAATATTAAAAGAAAAATATTCTATAACTTTGAAACAATTTTCTTTGAATATTTTTTTATAATATTTCTGGAATATTGCTTGGAAATATTACTTGAATCATTTGTGTAACAAAATCATATTTTTTAATTTCATATAAATCAATAGTAATTATAATAATAGTAATAATAATAAAAAAAAAAATAATAATAATAGTAATAAAAAATATTGATAAGAGGACTCACGAATTCGCTTCTTGGCTTCGAGGTAGGCATGGTTTATGGCCTCGTAAGTAATGCACGAGTGTCCACCAACATTCGGTGGGCTGTGGAAAAAAATAAAAAGGATGAAAATAAACTTGTGCGTTGAGATATCAGATTGCTGTTACAATTGCCATTCTCTTTCAATTTCATTATTATTTCCGCCTCACGTGTATACGAGAGGTCCATGATATACTTAAATATATACTGACATATATATATATATATATATATATATATATATACATATAAGAAATTTATTCATATTTAATTTATCCTGTCACATTTCTATATTATAAATATACCTATAACTAATAAAAAAAAATATTTTACTCTCTGGCATGTTCCATTAAAATAAGACAAGAAAAATATTGTCTATTGTTTACCCAAAAAAAATTTTACAATTCTATCTAGGTGTAGGGGAGAGTGACAAACAGTAGGACAGTTTAAACAATAGGACACTTTAATTTTCTGCAAACCTACTTAAAGATACTCGACCAAAATTTATATATGTAAACCATGTTTATGACAACACAGTATCTCAAAAAATTTTAGCCACATTGATTCATTATTTACAAAGAAAATTGAACAAAAAAACTGTTTTTGACGTACCCCCATGCAGAAATTGCCTGACTTTGCCCTATTTAAAGTAAGGCATTGATAAGGGCCTTATCAGTTTTCCCTGTTTGAGTAAAATGTGAAGAAATTAAATTTTTAAAGTTTTTCCTTCATAAAGTGTTATTAACAATAAAATAAAATCGTTTTACAATAATTTTAGATATTTTTTTATTTTAGTGTTTTGACCAGAATTCCCGACCAAAATCCCAACTAGGGTATTCCATATATGGCCCTGTCAAGGACCTTTTCAGTTTTCCCGGTTTAAAAAAAATTCAAACTAATTAAGTATTTAAAGTTAACATTTCGCAAAAATGTTATTGTAAATTAGTTAAATGATTTCGATTTTAAATAATAATTTATTTCTTATTACCAAAATTTTCTTATGGGTTCCTGTTAAATTCCCTAAGTATATAACTCTTCATAGTTACAACGGAATTGATACATTTTTCAGAACGATGGCGCAAAAAAAAAATTTTTATGTAAAGTTTGAGAAGTATTAATTAACAGAAGATAATAACTATTAAAAGTAGCAAATTACATTGGATAAAATAATAATTTATAATTTTTTAAATTTCCATTGGATAGTAAAATTAACTGGATAGTGACAAGAATGTCCTCAAATATCATGCAAGCCATCCTAGCGTGCGTGCGTGGTTAGTTGGTTAAGTTGTCGGCTTACGAATGTTAGGGTCGCGCGTTCAATCCCCAGCGTTTCGGGATTTTTCTCTGTTAGGTATATAAATTTAAATATTTTAGGCATGTACAAACGAAACTAGTAGGGGAGAGGATGAAAAAATGGATCTCAATACTAATACTTATAATAATAAATTTACTACATTGAATAGTTTTTTTTTTTACTAAATTTTACAGTTAATCTTACAATTTTTACATAGTTGTTTCAACTATTGTTTGTTATAGGCGCCCCCTGGAACTAGGAGAAATGTAGTCAATGTCAATTAAATGTAGTCAAATTTACCATGAATTTTTTTGAGTTTATATAATATAAAAAATAGGGTATGCGTATGGAAAACTGGTAAGGCCCTCACTAGTTTTCTTTACCTAGGGCATTGGTGAGGAAAATCATTACACCCTTGTGAGGCTCTGATCAGTTTTCCCGACAAGGCCCTTATTAGAGATCGGGAAAACTGGTAAGTACCTCATGAGGCCCACATCACGATTTCTGCACGGGCCAGAGTAAATTTTTTCTTGAAATACAATACTGATTTTTATTTAGATAGGACAGTTTTAAAAAAAAGTGTAATTGTTACTTCGTTTACTTATGTTTTTAAATATAATATCCAGTAATTTAAAATATTTTAAAATTTCACAAACAATTTTTATTTAAATAATTTCTTACGATTGCTTAATTTAAACAGTGGGACTATCAACACTGGGACAGGCAAAAATTTAAGTTTATGAAACGTGGATTTTGGCAACACTGATTATAAGTTGTGTCAGCTATACGCATGCGCATTTATACTTTACTTACACAGCGACTAAAAATGTGTTTTTTTATGCTAAAAAACAATAAAAAATTCAAAATTTATAATTAATAATTATTACATACAATTATTGTTCGGCAACATTTAAAAAGTAACACTTGATAAGAGAACGACTATTTAAATTTTCCTCCAAATTGTTTTTAGGTTATGACCAAATTATGACGTATATGATCAGCAGTACTGTAAACGTGAAAAAAAATAATAGCAATTTTTTATATGAAACTTGACATAGTATTATAAAAATGTAAAATATTATTAAATTATGAGTGTTTTGCAACATTTGTTAACGTTATTTAATGCAAAATATATATATTTACAAAGTATGAAGCAGCAGAATATTATTATTAAAATAATTATTCGGTTCTTAATAATAGGTGTCCTACTGTTAAACACAAACCGTCAAAACAAGAAAAATGAATCAAGACTCAAAAACTTTAAATTTTTTTATTTAATCACAATATAATCTTAATAAAATATGTGCATTGTGTAGAAAAGAGTTCAAATTTTATGGTAATACCAAAAAATGTTCAAAAATATATAAAATTGACATATTAATATGTCTTTGAAAAAAGTGTCCCACTGTTTGTCATTCTCCCCTAAATTTTTTTTTTTTAATTTCAAGTGAATGTGCAAGTAAAAATAATTTTCCACATGACAGAAAATTTTTTCTTTTTTGTAATGTAAAAACAATTATTCAACAATAACAAGTACACGGTTTAATTGTTACAATACATTCCAGAAGTGTTATTTGAAAAAACGTGTTGAAATTTTTTTTTCAAATTCAGACTAATTCAGAGCTGCACAAATGACAATTATTTAAAACCTTTTTTTCTTATTGTTATAAAGTGTTCCTAGAATTTCGAATAGTATATTAAAATATTTGCTGTTAAAATAAGATTTTTTTTTTAAATGTGAGTTTTTTAATAATAAATTTCTTAGTATAATTTTACATAGGTATGAGAAATGGGTCAATAATAATTTAAAATTGTTCTTAGAAGAAAAAAATATAATGGCAATAAATAATAATAATTTTTAACATGAATTGCTTATAGTTGAAAAATTAGATAAATTGCAACTTTTATTGTTTACAATCATACGTTACGACTAGTAATTATTCACTTTATGATTTAAATGCAACAATAATACAATTCCACATTAGTTACAATGACACGTAATAGAACAATGTGACAATAATAATAATTGATACGTATATGTCAATGGAGAGCATAGGTCTAAAAAAACATTAAGTTTTTCTTGCAATGTTAAGGAAAAATTTTTTTTTTCTCAATTTTATATAAAAAAATAACGACAAATTAATTTTTTTTTACTTTGGGCAATATTTTTTACTTTCTTAAAATTTTTACATACCTGGAAATATAAACTTTTTGCAAAATCTTCTTAGTAATTCCTGGAATGTAAAAATTCAAAAAATAGTAAAAAAAATCGTGCCCAAAGTAAAAAAAAAAGAAATAAATTTGTTATTTTTTATACAAAAATTGAAAAAAAAATTTTTTGTTAACATATTTTGAAAGTCGATGAAAACCAGAAAAATTTTTTTCTTTTGTCAAAAATTACTAAATTCAATATTTTTAGAGTTAGATGTCATTAAAATTTATTTATTTATTTATTATTATTATTATTATTATTATTTATCCAAATTTAAAATGTCAGGTAAATTTCAGGCGGAATCGTCCATTTATATTTTCACTTTTCTAGTGATTTTAATAGCAAAAAGTACGCTGATTTATAAATCAAATGTGAGTATTTAAAAATTTAAAAATTCAAAATGTCGAATCCAATATGGCGGAAGATTTTTTTTTTTTATTGATTGAATTCGTTTGAGACTCGTTACTCAAAGATTTAAGGCCATGTGAGAAACTCTCACGTGATCTACTATATGAGAAAATGTGTTTTGGCGAAAACCGAATTTTTTCTTAAATGAAGAAATATTTTGAGCTAAAATTTTTTAAAAATTAAGAAATTTATTTTCAAATATAAAGAAGGGTACAAAGAACATTGTTATTTTTCTGAAAAACATAAGATTGCGTTAAATTATTAAAAAATTAAGTTTAGAAAGTCAGAATTTTAAATAAAAATGTCAACAAACATTGCGGAGCATACACAGACGTTGCGCGTGAGTGTGTCAGTGCTCCAAGAGGCAGCGCCAATTCGAACTAGTGGCCGCTGATTAAACTGGAAAAAACTAGTTTACTATTTCCTGCTTTATTTTTATTATTTTTTCGTTAAATTATAGAAAATAAATAAAAGAGCGATGTTTCCTTACACCCTTGTCTATCATTCCACAAAAAATGTAACCTCAAATATTTTTTCATTTCGGAGAAAATTTCAGAGTTCTAAAAAATATCTTTTTTCCACATGGCCTTAACCCTCAACTAGCACAATTCCGCGTTCGGACGTAAATGGCACAATGGGTCTGTTGGACCCGACGTATTTAAACGTGTTATGTATAGTACAGCTGGTATTGAATATTTTTGCACAAAAATTTAATCTGAGGTACCTTTTGATGTAGTTTTTAAATAAATGTAATTAGTTTTACAGGGATTAATTTATTTTATACGTCAGTTAAAAAATTGTGAAAAATAAAAACGAAAAATTGCGTGTTTTTACTTAAAAATTCATGAGTTATTTAAATTTTAATATTATTACTTAAAACTTTAAGGTTATACTCTTGATGTACTATTATTTAAGAAAAAAATTACCACAACAGCAGGACTTACAAAAAAGGTATTTATTTTGTAGAATAGAATGTGACTTTTTAGGTTAAAATTAAAAATTTATAATTATTATTGTTTCAAACTAATTTATTCTTTTGTATCGAATTAGTTGTATCAAAAAACTTACAAAATTACTAAGAATATGTCAAAATATTTTATTAAAATATAAAAAATATTCAAAAGCTACACAATAAATTAATTTAATGGCGA